TTCTTGATATTTTTTCTTTCCTGCCTGATGTCAGGGTAATGTATGTTGTAATTTTGAACGTAAGAGTTGTTTCTTTTTATTTTAAGATAGCTTACCTCACTCTAGGTTTTGGCATACTTCTTCGTTCTACTGTCTGGGGCTATTTAGACCAAGCAATTAAGAATTTCAACTTTTCATTTATTGAAATCACAGCTGTTTCAAGTATTTAATGCTGTTTCATAGTGTTAACTGACCCATAAAATAATATAGGTAAATGCAACTACTGATTTCATGCTGGCATATGTGGACTTCTTTCTTGGTGGCGATGAAAAGAGGATAGACCTTCCTCCTCGATTACATGAAAGGTTCCCAATGTCGTTGCCTTTTGGAGGTGATGGAAGTTATATGGTTCCATTCTCCCTGCACAATGATAATATCCTTACCAGCCTAATGAGTCAGGTTTGTTTATTTATTTTGGGATCTGTGTTATGCACAGATGCACTTAAGACACATGCCTTACTTTTTGTTCCATTCTAACGAATTTAATTATATGCATACCTTTAATGATGTTTGCAGTCAGTACAACCTACAACCTGGTATAGATTGGTTGCTGGGCTGAATGCACAACTACGGTTGGTTCGCCGTGGACGGCTAAGAGTAACATTTCGACCTGTCCTCAGATGGCTTGAGACTCATGCCAATCCTGCATTGAGTGTCCATGGTGTGCGTGTTGACCTTGCCTGGTTTCAGGCTACAAGCAGTGGCTATTGCCACTATGGGCTTATGGTATATGCTCTTGAGAATGGTCAAGCCACTGGAGGAAGTGCCGATGGAGCTTTAAGAACTGAGGAAAGAGCAAGGTAATCTTTTATACATATTTTAGTGGAATGTGGTATGATTTTGATGGTATTATACTTGATACTCTCTGTTTGTTTATTAATTTTTGGTCTCTAGGGTCCAGAGTGTTAAAAAGGAACATCCTTTTGGGTTTGCCAGAAGCAGAGCTCATTTAGGCCCTGGTGGAAGAACTGAGGACAATTATATAAGGCGACAAATGCATGGAGCTGCTTTAGATGTAAACAATTTGCAGATGCTTGACGAGAAGAGAGATATCTTTTATCTTCTCTCTTTCATACTTAAGAATACAAAACCTGTTGGACATCAGGTATTTCTAGTATTGATTGTTTTCTGGTTTGCTAGACAAAATTGCTAATTTTTGGCTGACTAATCTGATTACTGATTTCTTTCTTTTTGCTCCTGTTGACTGCAGGACCTTGTTGGTTTAGTAATCTCAATGTTGCTTCTAGGAGATTTTAGTTTAGTATTACTTACTCTGCTTCAGCTGTATTCAATTTCTTTGGTGGATGTCTTCTTTGTGTTGTTTATATTACCTTTCGGCATTCTTCTCCCTTTTCCTGTCGGAATTAATGCTCTCTTTAGTCATGGGCCAAGGCGTTCTGCAGGCCTTGCACGTCTTTATGCTCTGTGGAATCTTACATCCTTCATAAATGTTGTGAGTAAATCGAATTTCAGCTAGTTGGGGATATTTGATCCTTCAATCTATTGTTTATTTGTAGGGCCAATAAACCTTTCCTTTTTTTTCACTGGTTTTAATTGGGATCTTGTGTTTTTTGGAACTAGGTTGTTGCATTTCTTTGTGGATATATACACTACAACTCTCAATCGTCTTCCAGTAAAAAACACCCGAGCATTCAGCCATGGAGTATCACGTAAGTGTCTGGTTTAACTTTGGTTAAGAGCCTGCTTATTTGGGAAAATCTTACTCTGTCTGGGGATGCGTGCATGCAGGGATGAAAGTGAATGGTGGATTTTCCCAGCTGGATTGGTTTTATGTAAATTGTTCCAGTCTCAACTCATTAATTGGCATGTTGCCAATCTGGAAATTCAAGACCGGTCCTTGTATAGTAACGATTTTGAGCTGTTCTGGCAGTCATGATGGTATGTTCACAGCATATAATTCAACATTAACTTTTTACCCCCATTTCCCTCCTCCTCTCTCGATCGATCCATCACATGTTCTCAGTTCAGTAATATAGGATAGATCAAAAATTGATTGACATAGAGATGGTAGTATTTTAGATAAACTCGAGGTGGGAGAAACAGAACTACAGAAATCCAAAGTAGAAGTTGTAGAGGCATTCATTACTGTAACATCTAATGTTCAATAGTTCTTTTTAAAAAAAAAATTAAATCATTTTCACCTTCATTTTTCCTACTGTGTAAATATCAAGTAACTAAGCACATTTATGTTGTAGTCGTGGACTACTTTTTTTAATATGTTCAATTGGCCAACGGCATCAAGTTGATTAGAGTCGGCAAATAATCTGGGGTTCTAGGGATAAGAATTGTTCTTGAAGCGCGTTATATTTTCCTCACCCTCTAAAACGCTTGTATTTATTTATTTTTTGGAATCAAGTTAGTAAATGTTTCATGAAATAGTTACCTTTTGCCATCAGACTTCTTAAAATCCTATTCTAAAATTTTCTTGATAGTAACAGCATGTGTTCGATCACTTTGAAATTATTATAGAAGGTACTTGGCTGCTTTTTAGATTTGTGATGGTTATTTGGCTACAAATTACTTCTCTGAATTTGTATATTTTATTCAATTTGGATTCTCAGTTTCCAATGAAGTTTCTAATATTTAAATGGTTATTATTTTTTTCGTCTCTATATTTATATGCTTTATTTAATTTAGTTCTTATATTGTTAGAATTTTTTATTGAGTTCGTCAATTAAGTAATGCAGTCTTTATTTTTCTTAAATGATAGTCATAATCCTTGTATATGGTTTCGGCGAATTAAATTTATAAAATAAAATAAAACATGCTTTTTTTTTATGATTTGAAAGAAAAGTCGTAAAAAAGTGATGCGTAGTTAATTTTGAATGCAATTGTTTTGACTAAATCCATAATTTATTTTCTTGTATTTAGACAATTTATTCAATCCATAATTTATTGTCTTTCTGTTGAATTGTTAAATGTCTGTTTTGTATCATGCATATGCATATAATGAATTTGTTTGCGTCAATCTAAAAAACCCAAATTGATGTGAACATAAAAAGATGGAGATTGGAATTTCTAATAATGAAAAGACTAAATTAAAGAAATCTTACAAATACAACACAAAAATGAATAAATCGACTATTCTGGAATGACCACGGAAGCTGTTCCAGAATACTTCTAGATAATTTGTTGAATGGGTGTTTAAGAATATAACTTGAGTTAACACTCCAGGACATCCATTCCGGAATGTCCCCAAACAACACGGAAGAAACATAACGCTACGGTCGTCCTCAGCGGGGCGACAGTGGGCGACAGTCTCAGTCCCACGAAGGTGGCTCAAATGGTTTCCGGATTCCACACCTATCCTAGCGTTTCCAACTTTTTTCACAAAATTATGTACCATTTTTTTTATTTAATAAACAAATACATAAAAGTCTTAAAATAAAAGTATCTTTGTTATAAAGAAGTAAAAAAGATTATATAAAAATTAATAAAAGATATAATTAATATTGCATCATTAAATAACAATTAGTCGTATGAGTTTTTTTTTTTTAACTTTAATACTTATATTTTAACGTAAACCCTAATTTAATTAGTTAGTGATTGATCGGTATATGTCTGCACAAATTTAAAACTTTGAAAATAATATATTTACACCATTGGACATCGATACTTGTCTAATAATTGAGAATAAAATAAAATTAGAAGTTTGTAGCTGAAATTAGATTGCTCATAGTTTTAGAAATTACAGAAAATATATACATTAATGTTAAATTGTGTTAAAATTCATCATCTCTCACTATCTACAGCCATCATGTGATGAAAAAAATGTGAGCACTAAAAGGTCTCAGCAAATAAAACCTTATTTACATTTTTTATCACTAAAATGGGATTTACAAGTTGAAGCGGGTGCACTAATAAAATTGGTGGGACGAGCAAGAAGTCAATCTCCCTCGGCATCTCCTTCATGTGCTATCAAATTGCTTCTTTCTGTGTCGTTAGTGGTGCATTGATGCAACTGGGGAGAAGCAAAGAGATTCCTTTGAACGTCATCGGAGGAATGTGAATTCCCAACATTAGTGGAATTGCCGCTAGGCACTGTTGCGACATGCGGAGAATCAAAGTCAATGCCTCCGCCAGAAATTGGTCCGTTTTTACCGCTACCTATAATCAGCAAGCATTGTTAGACATAACTCTTTCTTTCAAAATAAAACCTATTCGGAGGGAAATATAACCTGAAAGATTAGGGGCAGGAGATGTGTTTGATAACGCAGGTGATGTACCACTTCCTCTTTTCATCTTTGACTGCAAAGCAAAACTTGCCGTAAGTAATGTGGATTAACGATCGGCTTATAAAAGGAAGAAACATCACTCACTCAATTTTAACTAGGTAATAAATTGTACAAATGTTGCAATTGTCATGTAGAGAAATAATCTTAACTTGTAGTTCGCAATTCAATTGTCATGTGATGATTTGAATGTCAAGCACCCTTCACAACGATGCTATGAGGGGGTTTGATTTGGCAAAAAGATATGTGCAGCTAAGTAAGGAAATTCAGTAGGGTGTTTACCATACATACCTTCGAAATTTCTTCACAATGCTTCACAACAATTGAGATACTTGCACATCGTCCATGCGATAAAACATAGGCCCACAAGAGAAGCTTCCTTGGTATGCTTAGAT